ATATCTACTGTCACTTGATTTCCAATAAAATTGCCAAGACCATGAACTAGAGAAAAGACAGTCTCTTCAGTCAGTGGTGCTGAGAACAGTACATACCAATATATAAAAGGATAAAATCAGGCCCTTATTTAAACCTTTACACTAGAATCAACTTATAATGGAGTGACATCAATTTAAGACCTGAAACTATAAAATTACTATAAATAAACACAAGAGAAGAGCTCCAAATAGTGACCTGGCTTCTTAGACATGAGCCAAAAGCACAACCAGCAGAAGCACAAATACAGAAATGGGAATTTACCAAAGTAAAAGTTATCTGCACACACAGAAATAGAGATGTTGGTTCTGTTCTGTTCTGTTCTGCATTGTGCTGTGCTATGCTGTGCTGTGTTGTGACAAGGTTTCACCATGTAGTCCAGGCTAGTCTTGAGCTTGCAGTGTACCCAGGCTGGCCTTGAACTCACAGTAATCCTGCTTCAGCCTCCTGAGTGCTGGGATGACAGACATGCAACACCACCACTGGCTTTGATGGAGTGATAATTTTCAGATTGGGAGAAAATATTTGCATGTCATATATGAGATTAGGGGCTAATATCCTCGGTATATAAGGAACGCTACTCAATAACAAGAAAACACGTAACGCCATGTATAAATGGACAAATGGTCTGGATAGGCTTTTGTCAAAATACTTACCAGTGACTAACAGATACAAGAAAAATGCTTAACATCACTAATCACCATGAAAACACAAATTAAAGCCATAATGAAATATCTCCTCATACCTATTGAAATGATCATAAAAAGACGAAAGATAGCAAGTACTGGCAAATATGTGAATCGGGAAATAGAATATTGTCCCCCTTTTAAAAAGAAGGAAATTCCATCTTTCACAACATCGTGGGTGAATCCAGAAGACATCGTGCTAAGTGAAATAGCCTAGGCACACACGGACAGATAGAGCATGATCCCATTTGCGCGTGTCATTCTTCAGAGGCAAACACACACCAGTGGGCAGCAGAAACATGATCAGCAGCAGCTGAATGAAGGAGAGGACAGGACAGACACTGCTCAGAGGGCCTGAAAGTAGGCAAAAGAAAATTTTTCAAGATTTTTTCTTGCACAGATTAGTAACTATACTTAACTATAGTTAATTATATATTTCGAAATTGCTAAAATCATGGGTTACAAATGTTCTCACCACAAATAACTATGTTATGTAATAGACACATTGGTCCGATTTTATCATTTCATAATATACATAAATCATATCGTCACACTGTACCCCAAAAATACACAAAATTATTATTTTTTAAATTTAAAACAATGTGACATTTAGCTTTCCATCTCAGTAACAAAACGTCTGAGATAATCAAATTTTAACAAGGAAAGACTTATATTAATGTTCATGAATTCAGAGATTGCAGTCCACGTTTGCTTGGCCCCATCCACCTGGGCCTGTGGCAAGGCAAGACTTCGTGGCAGGGACATGTGGTAGAGAATGGCTTATAACACTAAGAAGCAAAAGAGGAGGAGTCAAGGTTCTCACATCCCTTTGGAGGGCTGGCAGTAGAGCTCAGCGGACTAAGTGCTTGCTTAGGTATGCGCCGGAGCCAGGGTTCAATCCCTGGCTCCGCATGCCACGCTGGCCCTGCACCCTGGTGCACTAAGCAGGCGATGGAGTCCGGGCGTGGTGACACGTGCCTGTAATCCCAGCACTTGCGAGGCAGAAATCAGGAGGATCACTACTAATGTGGGCTGAGGAGTGAGACCCTGCACACACACACAAAGAAAATTAACATCCCCTTGGAGAACAGCCCGTAGGCAGGTCACCGCACCGTCTTCCAATGAGTACCAAATGAGTACCATCAATTGAGGACCAAGCCTTCAGCCTTTGAGGGACATTTAATGTCTAAATCAAAAAGCAGATACAAAATAAAATGTTTTAGAACTTATAAGGGCCAGCCAAATAGCTCAGCAGATTAAAGCACCTGCTTAGGGTGCGGATGAGGCAGCCAGGTTTTGATCCCTGGCCTGCCATGCCGGCCCCACCCTCAGGGCACACTGAGATGACGATCGAGACTGGGCATGGTGCTGCATGCCCGTAATCCCAGCTCGGGGAGGCCGAACACAGGCTGATCACTACGAGTCCAATCTATATACTGAGACCCTGTAGACCCTGTACAAAAATTTTTTAAAAAGAAATAACATAATATGTTTTCTTCTGTTAGAGAATTTATACTCAGGAGGCTGCAGCAGGAGGACTGTCACAAGCTCAAGATCTGCTGTGGCTACAAAGTGAGTACAAGGTCAACCTGAACTTAAAAACAATTTTTTTAATTAAATTCAGTATTTCCTGAGGTTCATTATAACTTGGAAGCGTGCAAAAATTAACATGAGAAACATCATAGAATAAAGTAGACTGAAGGAAAATGCATTCACAGAGACAAGATGGGGTTGGCCTGTGTTGTGACCCAAAGGACAGGCCACACCAACTCCTTTCTCCTGGGGGCGCTCTGCCGAGGGTATCTGGGCTGCCTCCAGAGCTGCAGTGTCCTGGGACAGAGGAAGGTGGGGGACATTCGAATCTTCTTTTTGTGGCTGTGGATGCCTTTCAGCAGGCCTTCTTGATCTTCAAAGCTTCCACTTTGGCTTCAGCTTTGGGAGGGCCAGGGCTTCCTTCCTCGCCGTGGCGCCAGCTTGGTAAAAAGGCTCCTCCCAGGATAATATTTCTAGATGCTGCCTGTATTACACTCTTGCTGGGGCTCGTGACTATCCCATGCACAATTCCCCACAGCAACGTTCAGCTTTGCACACTACTTCTTATCTGTCCCGCTTTAGGTGTGCCTGAGGCCAGGGCAGGCTGCCGCTGCTCCCCTGCCGCCACACACACCTGCACCACCTCGCACCACGTTCTGCCTATCTCAAGTCCCCTCCCATTTCTTACTGCAAATACTTGAAAACACGTATCAAGCCTCAGGATACACGGGAAACTCACCACGGTGGACCCTTCCTTCCCAGTCTCCCTCATGCTGTGTTTTACGACCATGTCTATTTTTCTTACAATTTTATTTTGTCTAACCTAATGTGTTTCCCATCCCCCGTATTTGTGTGCAGTTTGTCTTTTCTCGCGTAGATAATTAGGCTTAAAGGCAGTGCCCTGGTACTGCAATTGATTAACAACTCAATTTGCGATCTCCTCAGTGCTTAGTGTAAACCCATGCCCATGACCCTGAAGCTCAGGCAGGGGTTCTCCCAGGTCGGGTTGTGCAGCCTCAACACGTACAGAAATTGTGAATGAACTGCGAGACGCAAGCACACACCGTCTTACCTGCTCCATTTTGATCAGGAAACAATCAATGAAGTCGAGCGGATTGTCGATGTCCAGGGATTCCTGGTGCTCTTTCACTCTTTCCAAAACATAATCTTTTACATAAGCAAAATTTTTAAGTATTTTGTTATGGATCCCTGGGAGATAATCAATGATAAAAGGGAAAGCATTGCAGACCTTAGAGGAAAAAAAAAATTAAATTAAAAAATGTAATGAAGACATATATGAGTACCATAGGCCAAACCCCAGTTAAAAACGCTAGTAAATTTAAAAATGGTCTCTAAGATGAGTGTGGTGACACGCCCCTGTGACCACAGTAACCTCAGAGAGGCTGAGGCAGGAAGACAATAGCTTCAAAACCAACCTCAGCAACTGAGCGGGAGAGATAGCTCAGTAGAATAAGCACTTGCCTGGCAAGTGCAAGGCCCTGAGTTCAATCTCTGATACCGAAAAAAACCAAGAAGCACACCAACCTTGGCAACCTACTGAGTTAGCTGGTCCTTGTCTCAAAATTTCATATAAAGTTTTTTCAGTGCTGGGACTGAGGCTCAGTGTAAAGGGCCTGCGCTCAATCCCAAACACAGCCCAAAGAAGAACTCTCCAACTTGAGAAGGAACATTTGTTTAAAAATAGGAAAGAACTTTCTACACTGATAGATGAACCTACTTCTTGAGCAGAGGTAACAACAATTTCCTGCACTCGTGTGGTACTTTCATCACTGTGACAAGTCTTTTTTTTTTTTTTTTTTTTTGCGGTACTGGGGATTGAACTCAGGACCCAGCGCTTGCCAGGCAGGTGCTTACTCTACTGAGCTATTTCCCTGGCCCTTTAATGAATCTCTGTGTCAGTTCTCTCATCTTTACCTACAATCCTGAAATACAAAATGGCATAAATTGCTATGATTCACATTTGATAGAGGACAGAGGTTAAGGAAGCGTGAAGAACCTCGTGCAGAGCACAGAGCTACTCCACACTGTTTCGGCCACTAGCAATCAGCCACAGGGTAGAGTCACAATTTTGTAACTGGGAGGGATGCAAAGATACCAGGAAGCCCAGCTCAACAGTTTTGTGGGTAAGTTCCTGTGCACAGAATACCAAGTTGCACCACTTCCACACAATCACACAACTGTCCTCCAGGTAAAATGTAACTTGTGCCGGGTCAACAGAGGGCAATGTTGTAGGGTTGCGCTGCGCTTCCTGCACACCAAAACCTGACCGCACTGTCATCCTGACGCTTGTTACCTTCTCAACGCGTATTTCAAATGAAGGCTCTCACAGCCCCAGCACCGAAAGGTTGCTAGCAAGGTCCGTGCTCCTAAGTGTGCTCCATCCTTGATGTTCTGAGCTGGGGCACTTCTGCCAAATAAGGGGACCAAGAGGGCTCTGACTGTCGCCTGGCACATGAGCGTGCGGGTCACGGGCGCATTCAGCAAGGGCTTCACTTGCACCGAGCACTGCAGGTGTCCTTCTGCGTATTCACCAAGGACTACCGGCAGCCGAGTTCAGAGTTTGCAAGGAAACTCCCGGCCCATGGGCCTGAACTTCAACCCTGTATTCAGGAAGTTACCTTCCTGTCTGTAAATAGCTTTCTAAGGTGTGCAGATCATGCCACTAAAATCTGGACAAGATTGTCCTGTCTAAACTGTCACTTCCTGGTAAGGAGGCAGGCACACAGCAGCCACAGTGAACTGCCCATTCCCACACAAAAGTTTAAAAAAAAAAAAAAGCAAAAACTATCACAATCGGTTTTGTCAGAACTCTAGAAAACATTAAAATGTTTACAACAATCAAAGGAAAGCTTAACCAAGAAAAGAGCGGGCGACACAGAAATGGCAGGAGAGCTTTGTGACACTGCTTTTGCCTTTGTCCCATCTTCCTCCTTGGTGTAGCAGCGGCCCTGACAAACACAGCGCTGCCACCGTGTTCCAGTGAACAGAGGTTGTGTTTCTCTGCTCTGGCCAGCCTGAGGATCACCAGAAGGACGGAAGCAAGGCACCCGTCACGTCATCTAACTCAGACTCACGGGGGAGGCAGTGGGCAGCGCCGCAAGCCTTGCAGCGCCACCCGAGGAACGAGACCACAGTAAGGCGCGTGGTAGGACTCTGAAACCCTGGGAAGGAAAGGACACTAGGGAGAGAGAATTTGTGGAAGCTCAACATTCCTAGCGTGCCTAGGGCTGGCAAGATAGCGCAGCGCACTAAGCACCTGCATAGGCAAGCGCAGGGACCAGGGTGAACCTCAGCACCACACACTGCGCCAGGCCTGCCCTCACCCTGCATGCTGAGCCAGCCCCCGGGACTGGGCGTGTGGCGCACACCTGTAATCCCAGACGGGGGAGGCTGAAAGCAACAGGTTCACTATGAGGCCAAGCTGCGTACTGAGACCCTGTACCAAATACATTTTTAAAAAAAGAAGAAAGGGGGCTGGAGGGATGGCTCAGTGGTCTAAAGCACCTACTTAGAACAAGCTTAGCAAAGGCATCAGGGACCGCGGTTCAATCCCCCAGCACCACATGCCAGCCAGCCCGCCCCCTGGTGGGCTGAGCTGGCC